TATTGTTCTCTAAATAAATGTTACTGAAATGATACTTTGCACTGTATATATATACAGGGGTAGACATAAGGATTTTTTTCAGGTTGTCCAGCGGACAACCTGATGACAAAATCTGGTTGTCCGCAAAACATTTTGGTTGTCCAAAAAAAAAAACTCAATTAAAATGTAATTTAATAGGTAGCCTATATTGTTCTGTATACAAAGTTTACTGTATACAAATGTTCTCTGTCAGCAGGTTAACAGTTTCAGGAGCTGCTTGAGTAAAACTCCTCCTCATCCTCTTCTTTGAAATAGAGCAAAAATCAACATCCAACAACCATAAGCTTCCTGCTTACAGGACTAACATTTTAATATAAATAGTAGTGTAGCCTACTGTCTACATGACCTTATTAAAACTACAGTTTAGTGTTCTTCAGACTGAGACTTTCTGGATAAAGGAGATTTAAACAGCTCTTCTGTCATTTTAGTGTTTTCAACTGAGGAGCTTTAATGTATTTATTTAAAATAAATTATAGCACAAGAAGTTCTCTGCATAGAAAAAAAACATAATTTATTTTTACTGTTTTTTTAACCAAACTGACAAATTTCTCCACTATAATTGTTGTGTAATGTAAAMGCATTGAAACACCTGGTTAAATTTAGAAGATATTATGATCAACTACAAGCACCTGAAGCTGACTCAGAGAACTGTGATTTTAGAGGAAAATCAAAGTCAAATGTAGACAAGCCACCCCACCCCAAATTACTGATTTGTGATGCTCATTATACACGTAAATATGTGAAGGGGTTGACTTGTGGACTCTGAAGTCCCAGGTCGGTCGGGGTCGCGGTGCACGTGAAGAGGTGCTGCGGCTGTGGTCCAACTGCCTTTCAGCCCTCGCTTTAAGAACAGTCAGATCTGTCATGGTTTTGTTGTGCTCGTAAACACACGGTGTTACAGGAGAAATGCTGTGAGGTGCTTTTAGAAATATAATATATATAAAATACGACGTAATCCTCGCTGTAAAATAGCTCAGGTGAACACCTCCCGAGAAAACCCTCTCAGCGTTTCCTGGACTGAGTGAAGCTGACCCCCCASCCACAGAGAAAGAAAAAAGGCAGAGGTGTCAGTCAGACAGCAMGACCCGCCCTGCTCTGTTCTGATTGGGTAAAACTTTGACTGTGGTTCTCTTTATTGGGTGAAAGAGCCGTCAGTTTAATCCCTAGATGGCTTTAACAAGATTTTATTCCCCTGTTCATGTTTACAATGACGAATACCTGCTGCTTTTTTCTTGGTTGTCCACCGGACAACTGGGAGGCGGGATCTGGTTGTCCGAAACGAAAATAGGTTGTCTCAGCCTCTGTGCGTCTCCTGGGGGCTAAGCCCCCATTGTCCTTAAAACCTTGTGACACCCCTGGAGAGTTGTTTCTCAAGGTTTGACCAAAGTGACTTCAGTTCATCCCATAAAGTCTAAAATCTCTGTTATGTAAGATGATATGCATTGCAAAAAACTTGTACCTTTAATAATGTTCTGCAGTATATTGGATTAATGGAACACCAATAATGAATCAGAAACAGACCAAGTTCCATACCGGCTTCTTCCTTTCAGGGTCACGGGGGTCACTCGTGCCCATTTGTGGACAAGCGTTAAGCTGTAGAATTGAATGGAAGTATTCACACAAGTAAAGAGACGAGTGTGTGTGTGTGTGTGTGTGTGTGTGTGTGTGTGTGTGTGTGTGTGTGTGTGTGTGTGTG